CCTGTGCTCCAGCTCCTGCCTCCAGGTTCCTGCCCTGAGTTCCTACCCTGGGCTCCCTGATGAGCTGCAACCTGGGAGATGTAAGCTGAATAAACCCTTTCCTCCCCAAGTTGGTAGTGTTCAGAGTGTTTTGTCACATCAGTGGAGAAACAAACTAGAACAGAAGCCTTTAATCCCAGCACTTAGGAGGCAGAGGCAGATCGCTGTGTGTTCAAGGACAGCCTGGTCTACATAGTGAGTTCAGGCCAGCTGGGTCTACATTGAGACCCTGTCTCATAAAGACCAAATATGTGTGTGTGTGTGTGTGTGTGTGTGTGTGTGTGTGTGTATTTGAATGGAGTACCAAACTGAGGTTTCCAAGGAAACAAGATCAGGTGCCCAAGTCACAAGACCCAAGAGCACATGGTCAGTGAGTTTGGCAAGGTTAATTAAAAGTCATTAGTGTAGATTCAGTTCATTTTATAAAAGTCATCCCTACATTTTGGGGCTGGAGAGATGGCTCAGTAGTTAAGAGTACTACTGTCTGCTCTTGCAGAGGACCCAGGTTCGGTTCCCAGAACCCACATGGAGGCTAACAACTGTCTGTAGCTCCAATTCTAGGGAATGCATCACCCTCTCTGGCCACCGAGAGCATTGCATCTATGGGTACACTTACATACATTAGAGGTAAAACACACATGAAAATTTTCTTACTTCCATGTTGATATTAGATTGTCAGACTTGTATTTAGCATCTAGTATTTGACTATAGGTATAAGTTTGACACTTAGGAATACACACACTGACATGTCTCAGTAGAGTCCAAGAATAATAACACATTGCATGATAATATCCTTTTTGAATAGCTGGGTTATAGTGAGAAGTAAATACATTATAAGGTACAGGTGTGTGTATGTTTTTTTGTTTTGTTTTGGTTTGGTTTTTTGAGACAGCGTCTCCCTATAGCCCCAGTTGGCCTGGAACTCACTATGTAGACCATGCTGGCCTTGAACTCACAGAGATCCGCCCACCTCTGCCTCCCGAGTACTGGGACTGCAGGCATGTGCCACCACACCCAGCTAGCTGTATGTATGTTACTAAGTAGTGGTTTTCTCATTAGGGGGTTTGATTTCAGTCATGTTGCAAAATGCGTAGTATTTCATAGCAATGCACACAACAGCTAGAAATGGCTCCGTATAGGTGCAAAGATGAAGTGCTGCCATATGCTTGCTAGAGTGTGCTCATCTGCTATGTTTGCAGAGCACAGTCATATCTTCCAAATATTAATCTGTGCTTTAACATCATGATAATGATAATAACAACTTCCATTATTTCTTGACTACCATCAGCAGGCAGTGCGCCACCTCCTTTAAATCCATTATGTCGAATCACCACTGTACAGACAACGTGACTGAGTGATAGCAGTAGCTTGTCCAATTCCGCCAGCTAATAAATGTCAGAACTTGGAGTTGAGCCAGTTTTGTCTATGTTAAGAGTTTGTGCTTTTTTTTTCTCTACATAACTGAACTTAAACTTTTTGACATCTTTATTTTCACATAACTACAAACTCACATGATCTTATAGAAATACTACAGAGAGGTCTCATGTACCAATCTCCCAGCTGACCCCAATAACTATATTGCTTGATCAACCAGAAAGTTGTTTGGGAGACGCTGGAGAGATAGCTCAGCAGTTAAGAGCACTGGTGGTTCTTGCGGAGGACCCAGATCTGCTTTCTAGCACTCACATGGTGACTAACAACCATCCATAACTCCAGATCCAAGGGATTCATTGCCCTCTTTTGGTCTCTGTGGGCATTGCATGCATATGGTGAACTTAAATACATTCAGATAAAACATACACATGAAATAAAAATAAAATTATATTTCAAAAAGCCAAGTGTGACTATACACACACCTATAACCCTAGTGTTGTGGGGGTAGGAGATAGGAAAATTGCTAAGGCATGCTGGTGATAACTTGTGGCCTTTGCACACACGTGAGCATACACCACACACGCCACAGTCACACAGGGAAGGAAAGCAATAAGAAGGAGAGAGAGAGGGAGGGAAGGAGGGTAGAGGAAGGAAGGAAGGGAAGGAGGGATGGATTAAGGGAAGAATGGAGGGAGTCAGTTGCTTAGCACGGTACAGATAACCAGTACTTAAATTTTGCAAGGTGTGTATGTGTGTGTACATTCTGTGGCATTTGATCCCAGGTAACCATCATCAACAATGAAGACATGGAACTGTTACATTACCATAAAAGAACTTCATACATTCCCTTCCCCTCATCTCCTGGCAATTATTTCTCAGTTCCCTACCTCTACTGTCTTGTCATTTCAAGAATTAAGTTATAGGGACTGGAGAGATAGCTCCTTGGTTAAAAGTACTGGCTGCTCTTTCAGACCACTCAGGTTCAGTTCCTAGAACCCACGTAACAGCTAACAACTGACCATAACTCCAGTTCCAGGAGATCTGACACCCTCTTCTGACCTTCGAAGGCATTGCACACATGTGGTACACTTACATACATGCTAGCAAAACACTCGTACACATAATGTAAAAATAAATAAAAGGAATTAAGTTATATAGCCAGACGTAGTAGTGCACGCCTGTAATCCCAACACTCAGGAGGCTGGGACAGAAAGATAAGAGGTTCAAGGCTATCCTGGACTGCAAGCAAAGTTCAAACAAAAAGGATGATACATAAATGGAGTCACATATGACCTTACAATATTGGCTTTAATTATTCAGCAGGATGACCCTAAAATTCTACTAGGTATCATACATCCTTAGTTCTCTGGTATACATACAACCAAAGAGTTATACTCAGTGAATTTTTGAAGAATCCATGACCTAAACATATTTTTTTCAGACTTTTACATATGAGTGGTGTAATTGTGTCATTTCCAGCCCTCTCATTCCCCATTCCAGCTCATCCCATGTGCTCTTCACTCAGTCTGTTTCTTGTCCTCTTCTTTGAATATTATTCTGAACATATTTTTGAGGAGATGCTTAGTAGTTCTAGTTTATTAAGGAGAAGGATTTAAAAAGAAAGTATTTTTCCTTGTATCCCCATTCAGCTACCTTTAAAATTCTTTATTCTTATTGTCAGTCATCAAAGAAACCATGAAAGCAATTTTTAGCTTGAATGCTCAGCCTTGAATGGGACATCTATATCACCCCCTCCAAAGCTCAGGGGATATCATGGAAGGGGGGCAGAAAGAATGTAGGACTCAGATGACAGGAAGGGGTACTGTGAAATGCTATCTTCTGAATATGACGTGGCTGTTGCACCCTTGAACTCACAGCAGCTATGGCTAGCTGCACAAGACCAGCACAAGATTGGGCCCATCAACCTTCCATTATGGATGGGGGAGAAGCTCATAAGGCCTCACCTCTCCCTGAGCTGCTATAGGCAGTTAATAGTGGCTGGGAGACAGAGTCCTATTCCTCAGTGGGGTGTAGCCACTGGTAAGTTGCCCATTGTCTCAAATTACTGCCCATCCGTACTCATGCAAGCAACCCTAATTAAATTCAGGGGTCACAAGAAAGAACCAAAAGTAGAAGAGGCATCTATTGGAAGAAGCTGCTCTGTGAGAAGGGTAAAAGGGCATAAGAGAATAGGGGCGAGGATTTAATCAGTGATGATCAAGGAGAATATGATAGTGTATGTGTGTGTATGCACAAAATTGTGAAAGAAGAAATGAAAGTAATTCACAGGTTAAACTGTGGGGCCCTTCATACTTACTTTCATTTATGTGACTATGTATGTTCTGTTATTGCAGTTAGTGTGTTTTGCATATTGCTGTTTTCCACTTAGTTCTCCAGATACCATACTTATCCTAATAGCTGTACATATGCCCCTTTAAATTGACTGATACTGACCTTTCTGTTCGCCAATTCTTCCCCCTTGGAACCTGTGTGTGCACAGTTTTGGGGTTTATTTATGTATTTATTGTTTGTTTCGTTGGTTCATTTTGTTTTTGCAGTGTTGAATGACAGCTCTAAGTTCTTTGGGAGTAAAATGATTGAGTCAAAGGTTAGGATATTTTTATGACTGTTTTTTGTATATGTTACTACCCTTTGGCTTGAACAGCAACCTCCCTTCATATTTCCTAAGCAAGATACTGAAGCTTTTTAGACCTGGATTGCCACGTGGGCAAACAGAGCTGCTTCATCTTTGACTTGGAATAGTTGTGAGAATAAAATGAGAAGCCCCTGTGGCAGGCGAATGTCAGCTGTGGCATTTGCTGTCCTCATCTTGTGATGTGATTCTGCTTGTCTAACAGAATTCCATGGCATCGGCAGGCTGTGGTCCGCTCACAGCCGGCACTGGCCAACAGACTGCAGAGCATTGTTGTGCATTTGGGCCCTTCTGATTGCTTGGGAAGTACATCCATGCTTTAAATAAGTGCTGTGGCCAGGCGTTTGACATCTAGTGAGGAAATACATTCATGGGGATAAGACAGTGAGGCAGGTGATCTAATGGGAATCTAACTTAAATGCTTCCTCAGACGAGGAAGTCACTAGTGCTGCTTGATCTAATTGGAAAAACAAAGCTGAGCCGAAGCTCCCCTCATGAGGGGAACTTGGTTGTTAGGAAAGAGAGATAGGCCAAAGGCATACTTTGAGCAAAGTGCATGGCCCTGGCTGTAGTAAAATGGTCTGCAGAATAGAGAAGGATGTACTCAACTGGAAGTCAGAGCTTTGTGGGAGAGAACCTACAGAAATAGGCTTTCTGTAACCTTCAGGGCCTGAAATTATGTAAGTAAGAGATCAGGCTTTGTCCCCTAGGCCATGCGCAGTTGCAGAGTTGGGGTACGTGTCTTGATCGCACACTTGACTGTGTTCACACTTGCTCTGTCATGTATGAGCTAGATCCTATTTTTACTCAGAAGTGGTGAATAGACTAAAACAAAAAAACAAAACCAAAAAACCCCACCTTGACAGCTTATGGTTCTTTACGCATGTGTTTGATGTTTTCATTATGCTGACTTTTGCATTCTTGTCCATTACAGGATTCTGCTCTGATACTTGATGTTCCTCTGGGTGTGATCTCAAGAATTGAAAAAATGGGAGGCGCGACAAGTAGAGGAGAAAATTCCTATGGTCTAGATATTACTTGTAAAGTAAGAGATTCTGTACTTTCTTAAAGCAAGAAAAAGACACCTTAGTGTTGACTCAATAGTAGAAAGTTAATGTGGGCTGTAAAAAATTAAAATATCTTGTTAATGTAAAGTCCTAGAAGTGGGCCATCTGTTGTGATTTGAGATTTCAAAAAGTGCCTGGGGAGAGAGTTCCCATACAAGGAACCCACTGTGCTCAAGACTGAGGCCTTGAGAAACTACTCAGCTTGTTAACTTGAGTGAAGCCGAAGAAAAGTTGGTGAAATTTCTTGAGTTTAGTTTTACTTCAGTCCTCTCCAGGTGGTCCAGGTACCATAACTGTCTTAACAGTGGTGTGTCCCATTGAATTGATTGATATTGGTCCTGCTAGCCACCTCTGGTCCCCATTGAGCATTTTCATGTACATCATCTTTTCCTACTATTGAATGGATGATAATTGTAAATTTTTAGGACTGAAATGCTTAAGTCAAAGGTTAGGACTATTTTTATGACTCTTCGTGGTAGTATATGTCACCAGCTAGACAGAAAGGCAGAAGGAAGAGAAGAGAGTTTGCCTCTGTGTCCTTCCTTACCTGTAACAACTTTTGTACTTTTTGCTTTATTTCCATTGGTGAGCTGATATTTGGTGGGTAATGAAGTTCAGACAATTGTTAGAGTAACCATTTATTGCGTGTTTGTGTCCATCCAAACACATTCCACTCTCAGCAGAGCCCTTTCAGACATAGTATAGATGGAACATTCCAGAAGAGTTAGGGAGCTTTACTAATATGACCCTATGAGTCGCAAAGCTGAACTCCAGATATGAGGAAGTAACCACTTTGTGAACAATGAAGTTGAGACTTCTAGTAAGGAAACCTGCTGTCGAGGCATTGAGTGTCAGAAGACTAGTGTCTGTAGCATTGAGCTCAGTTCTAGAAGGAGCCAGGAGGGGGTTAGGTGTAATTTATTCCACTAGTTCTCAAGTCTATACATCCAGAAAGCTTTTGAAAAATGTAGATCTTTGAGTTCTTAAGGCCAAGACCCAGAAAGTTGGAATACCTTTAAATGTCCCAGGTGACTGTTCAGATATTGTGTTAGTGCAGGGGTCAGCAAGCTTCTTCTGTAAAAGGCAGATAGCAAATATTGTAGACAAGGTAGGTCACATAAGATATCTGTTATGTATTCTACTTTATTTTTTGCAGTTTCAATACTTTATATATAGCATTCTTGGCTTGAGGTCTCTCTTAGTTACTTTCTGTTGCTGTGATAAGAACACCAACCAAAACCAACTTGGGAGGAAAGGGTTTATTTGGTTTACAACACAGTTCATTATCAAGGGAAGCCAAGGTAGGAACTCAGGGCCAGAACCTGGAGCAAAGACCATGGAGGAACGCTGCTTACTGCTTGCTTCCCTGGCCTATGCTCAGCCTGCTCTCTTAGGCAACACAGGGCCATCTGCCAAGGAGTGGCACTGCCCTCCCACATCACTCATCAAGAAAATGCCCAACAGACGTGTCCACGGGCCAATCCAATGGAAGCGATTCTCCATTCGGGGTTCCTTCTTCCCAGGTGTGTCACGTTGACAACTAAAGCTATTCTAGCACAAGGTCTATACAAGAGCTGACTTGGCTGGAGTTGCTGAGCCCTATCTAGTTCAAGTCTTTATTCTGCAGTTAGGGAAATGAAGCCTTCATGAAGTGGCATGACTTGCCTAGGCATTTCCAGGAAAACAATGAAAGAACCAGGTTTAAAACCCAAGTCATTTCCTAGTCCCAGGTGCTGTAATTTCTAAAAGCTAAGAACCTGTACTTCTGTTTGGATTGGGGATACAATACACTGTTTTCCTCTCCAGGTGGTAAAAGATCAAGATGAATATGAACATTGGGGAATTAATGTTGCCCCAAGATTTCCCACTACTCCCTACCTTGGCCTTTTTTGCTTCTGTTTTAATCTGAACTGTTTTTGGTTTTTTTTTCCCCTATCTACCATCCAGTTAGTGACTACCCTCTCAGGCCTAGAAGTATGGTAATTTACTTTGAAGAAAGAGTCTTTGAATGTGTCAAAGGAGTCATGGAGTGGAGGATTATATTAAAGCACTCAAGGCAGTGTGGTTGATATTTTGGTGAAGATGAAGTGACTTTCATTCTACTAATAGGGTATTTACTGCCTCATCAATAGGAAAAGTTTTATTTATTTATGTATGTATTTATTTATTTGTTTGTTTGTTTTTTGAGACAGGCTCTTGCTGTAGCCCCAGGTGGCCTTGGACTCACTATGTAGACCAGGGTGGCCTGAGTCTCACAGAGATCCACCTCTGCCCCCTAAGTGCTGAGATTAAAGTTGTGAGCCACCACACCTGGTTTAAATAGTAATCCTTCCAAATTAATGAAACACTCTGGAACAGAAGGCTTAGGAACAACCCACCAGGCAAAATTCTCAAGTGGCAAATATGTCATTTTACTGGAATTGGCTTAGATCTAAAATACATGAGGCCTATAATATTGATTAGTACAATATTTTGTTTTGTTTTGATTTGGGGGCGGTTCTTTTTGAGACAGGGTCTCCCTGTAGCCCCAGCTGTCCTGGAACTCACTATGTAGACCAGGCTGGCCTTGAACTCATAGAGATCCGCCTGCCATAGCCCCCTGATGCTGGGATTAAAGGCGTGCGCCACCACGCCCAGCTGTTTTGTTTTGATTTTTTTAGGCAGGATCTCATGCAACCCAGGCTGGTTCTGAACTCCCTATGTAGCTGAGGCTGGTCTTGATCTCTTGATCCTTCTGCCTCTACCTTCCAGGTGCTGGGATGACAGTCATATGCTAGCAAGCCCAGCTGTAGCACAACCTTTTCATAAGATTACCCAGAAACACTGATGTCAGAAGAGGCTACACTCCATTTTCTCAGTGACAGACATAATCTTGATATGAGAAGTCTACTGCAGCGGGATCAGCACTTGCTGTCTTATCTCCTAGGTCACCTTGCACCTGTAGTCAGTAGTCAGGATGCTACTGCATTTTTCTCTCCAAATTAGAGAGGAACAACCACTACACATTTGGCTAGCTATGCATATGGTGGTTTCTGCTTGCCAGTAGCCATGTTTGCAGAATGCCTCTCAATCCCAGAGGACCTTGTTCAGCCTCGGGAGGAAAAGGAGCCATAAGACCCAGTTGATAAGCACGTTGAGTCTGACAGGAACACTCTTATACCACAAGGCTCTTTCCCAGGTACCCTTTTCTGGTGAGCAGTCAAACTCACAGAAGACCAGGGAGCAGCTTTCCAGTGAATGTATGTTCCTTAGTCTGGTACACACCTCATCTGCTGTCAGTGAAACATTTGCCTTTTCCAGTTCAGTTTTGCAAGAAATAATTCTTTTTGTCTGTAATTGCATCTGAATCAGATGGCAGAAAGTTGATTGAATCACTTATGCTTTGACACCGGAAAATTACTTACCTGAATCACTGATAAATCACAATAAGTATTGATTTGGAAACAGTCTAATTTCTGGTGAGGTGGTTAAGAGAGTGACGCTGCATAATTCTCTGTGACCTGTGTCTGCTAGGAGGAAACTTCCTCACAGGTCCTTAGCCTTGCCAGTCTGTAGCTAGCCATTGTCTGCCATGGCTGCTTGTAAACTGTTTTACTGTATCTCATCCCATTGAAATGACTTTTCCCTTCACCTGACTATTGCTTTGTATCAGGAACCAGCAACTAATACCTGGGTCTCACGGGAGGTGATATAAATTGGTTGTTGAACTTTGTTCAGTTATATGCTTTTAGCATGGGCCTGGGGTGTAGCTCAGTGGTAGAGTGCTTGCCTGGCATGTGTGAAGTCCTGGATTTCACACATACCCCCCCCCAAAATGCAAAAGACAAAGCACAGAATCCTGGAGCTGGCAAAGGCTACACAGAGTCTGCCTGTTTTCAGTGGGATTGATCTCAGGTGGCCTTAGACTCTATTTCATTAGCAGATTCCTAAGTGGTCATAGACTCTACTGCACACTTCACTTGCCTTTTGGAATGCCTTGTATACAGCAAACCCTTTGCTGGCTCTTCAGACTGAAAAATTGTAAAGTGGAAAGTATTCTTGGGGCCAGAGAGATGGCTCAGCAACCAAGAGCACTTACTGCAACGTCCACATCCGGCAGCTCACAATCACCTGTGACTCCAGGGGCTCCAACACCCTCTTCTGGCCTCTATAAGCACCTACCCATATTCACACAGACACACATACACACACAAATAAAAATAAAATAAATCTTTAAAAATATTCTAAATATAATAAAATACTCTGCAAAACATGAATATTGTAATATACAAGAGGCCAGGGGCTGGGTCTAGCTCAGTCTTGAGATAATCCCAGGTTCTATGATTGATTGTTTAAAAAGACAACCTATAAAAAAATTCCAGCCTTAAAAATAAGATAAAATACTATATTTAATACAAATTAGAGGACCCTGTTTCATTTAGCTCCAGTTTAAAAGTCTTATCTAACAAAGAGATGTGTATGGAAAGCTACCTTTATTATTTAATATTTTATTATTTTTACTTTATGTGTATGAGTGTTATACCTGCATGTATGTAAGTGTGCCCATGTCATGCAGTGCCCACGAAGGCCAGCAGAGTGTGTACGGTCCCCTGGAACTGGAATTCCAGATGCTTGTTAGTTCCCAGGTCCTTTGGAAGAGCAGCCAGTACCCTTAACCAACTGAACCATCTCTCCAGGCCCAAAAGCTACCTTTGAAATCTGATTTTGATCATTAATTTATAGTTCCTAAAAGTAAAATTATATCTAATATGGGTACATTAATGTAGTTTATATAGAACCCTGAAAGAATTGGGTAATAAAAATTTATTACATCATTTGTATAAGAACATAAAATGCCAATCATTTAGGGAAAGAGTGTTTGTATTTAATAACATGTTTAACAATGTGGAAGTTGTATTTGATAGCAAGTACTCTTTTGAAAAGTTTTATGATTTAAATACTGTTCAATAATTAAAATTCCTTGGAAAGCAGTGAACATAGCTACAGATAATGTACAAGCAGAGTTCAGATTTTTTTTTCTTTTTTGTGAAATGATTTTTAGCTGTCGTCTCTTTAGTGTTTTTATTTGGAAACAGTCTAATTTCTGCAGAAGTGGTTTGTTGTTATTTTCTTGATTAAAATGGAAATATTTTCAGGGGTTCTTAAACTGGATATTTCAAAATATCATATAAAACAGCAATTTTACTTACTAGTGTACATTAATTGTCCTTGTAGGTAAGTGAATCTTCTCCCTTAATTGAAGAGACTTCTTGCTAATTAACTTGACTTTCCTTGAGGACTGAACTCTGTTTTCTCCTTTGCCTCTAGGATATGAGAAACCTGAGGTTTGCATTGAAGCAGGAAGGTCACAGCAGAAGAGATATGTTTGAGACCCTCACGAGATGTGCCTTTCCTCTGGCCCACAGTCTGGTAAAGTCCAGGGCTCCCCTAAGCATCAGAAAGTTCTGCAGTATCTCCTCTATGGAAACTGCCTGTGGACTGCGCTTCTCTTTCTTTCACTCACTGCTTTGTTTCCTGGTGTGACACTTCTAATATGTTTTAAGCAGTTGTAGAGGGAGCAGGTCTCCTCCCTGCTAGTGTGTGTGAAAGCAGAAGGCTGATGAGAGTACCCATGAGCCTGGAGCCTCCTGTGCTCCCAGCCTGAGTGTGCCTGTGAAAGGGAGAGGGTAAGGTGGCTTAGTGCACCACTGTGAGCTCTTCCTGTAGTTCAGTGCTCTTCACTTTGGTGCTTAACAAGTCAGACTTTTGTGGTACTACTTATAAATAGGAAGGGATCCTTTGATTCTAAAAGCCATTTAAACAAATACACCCTCCTCCTCGTCCTCTTCTTCCTCTTCCTTCTCCTCTTCTTCCTCCTCTTTCTTTTTTCCTCTTCCCCCTCTTCTTCCTCCTCCTCTTCATCTTCCTCCTCCTCCTTTTCTTCCTCATCCTCTTCCTCTTCCTCCTCTTCTTCCTCTTCCTTCTCCTCCTCTTTCTCCTTCTCCCCCTCCTCCTCCTCTTCTTCCTCCTCCTCCAATTGAGGCAGGGTCTCATGTATCTCAGACTGGCCACAAATTCACAATGTAGTGAAGGATGTCCTTGAACTTCTGATCCTCCAGCCTCTACCTCACAAGTACTGAGATTATGAGAATGTACCACCATGCCTGGTTCATGGAGTGTTGGGGATCAAACCCGGGGCTTTATACATGCTAAGTAAGCACTCTACTGCTTACTGAAACCCAGCAAATGTATTTCTAAGATACAGTTATGTTGTGGAGGCATCACAACCAGCAGCTCAATAAGGCAGGTTTATTTTGTTTAAAAATGGCATTTCAAATGTCATTTGATAGCATTTACTACATATTTGTAGGATGGATCTCTTAAGCATTTAATTAGTTAGAATCTATGACTAATCCAAAAGATAAGTATTATATGTTCTAAAAAGTTTTCCATGGGCTGCCGAGATGGCTCAGCAGGTAAAGGTGCCTCCAGGCCTGAGGACTTAAGTTCAGTCTCCAGGACCCACATGATCCTGGACTGACTCTTGTAAATTTGTCCTCTGACCTCCACAGACACTATGGCACATGTTTGCTCATGCATACACACACAAAGAAGAGGGGGAGACACAGAGAGAGATATCTAACCAAAAAACAAAAACTATCCCTCCCTCTTCACGAAGCCATTGAGGTAAGTTTAATTCCACATGACCAAGCTCAACTCTTCCAGCAGTGTAGTTCTTCAAAGAGTCTTTATATTCTGAGTCAACCATGAACCTCCCTTTTTCTGGTGGTGGTGAGAAGTGTCTCTCTGTGTAGTCCAGGCTGGCCTGGAAGTCACTGTGATGCCCAGGCTAGCCTGAAAGTCATGATCCTGCTCCCCGATCTCCTGAGCATTGGAATGACAGGCCTGTGCTACCATGCTCAGCTTGTTTTCTTCCAGTCATGCCCTGCTTGCGTCTTCTTCCCCCCTCAACAAACCTGGAAATGAATACCCACTGAGGAGAGAGCAAGGAAATAATTCTTTTAAAATATATAAAGAATTTTATTTAATTACTATCTTTAGACAAGGTTTTATATAGCCCAGGCTAACCTCAAGCTCACTATATAGCTGAGGATGACCTTGAACTTCTGATCCTACTGCCCTCACCTCCTCAGTACTGGGATTATAGTGCATGTTTTATGTGGTGTTGGGTTTGGAACCCAAGACTTCATGCATGCCAGGCTAGCTCCACCTCCAGCCGAAACAGTTTTGTTGTGAGTAAAAGATAACTATGTTGTAAACTGAACTGAGCATGTGGAATTGCCTTGCGTTAAAATTTTCTTTCTTTTCTTTTTTCTTGTTCTGTTTTGTTTGTTTTCATCATAGTGAGGTTTTTTTCTTTTTCACTAAAGGTACGGGATTTTTCTGTAGTGAGAGAAGGCTTTTCTCTTCTCTTACCCGTTTCTGTCACAGGAAGTTCCCACGTGGTAGAAGGGAGAAATCTTTCACACAGACTATGGCCATTATGGCCTTATATTGATTGTAGATAAAAATAGGATGTTTGGGGAACAAACGGAGATCATGTCCTTGAGTCCATTTTCTACATTCTTATTAAACAAGATTTAAAAAATATTTCTGTATTTAATATTTTTAACTATCAGGATAAAAAGATTTATGGGACTAGATCTTTTAAACTATTATGAATGTCAGATTGAAATTTATAATTTCTCAGGGAACATATTATATCTCAATTTGTACACATCTGCCTCTGTGCTATTAGAAATTTGAGGAATAGCTCACAAATAGGTTTGAGAAAGCCCAAGTCCTATTCCATCTCCAACCAAATCTTGAGTCATCAGCCATCTCTTTTCTCTGGCATCTTCTGTCTCTTTTAAGGTTTATTCCCCTAAAAAATTGCAAGTGTCAGGCCAGCTTTCCCCTTAAACTATTCCTCTCTCATTTGAATATGAAACTTCTGGAAAGAAATAGTCTAGCCTATGCTCACCTCTGACTCATTCATCCCTCCAGCCCATGTCAGGATCCAGCTTCATTTTTGGCCTCTCCTTGGGGTTTGTGATAGTGTTCATTTTGAATTTGCCAGAATCTCCAGTTACTCAGAAAACAAACTCCTGAGCGTACCTGGGAGGGATTATTTAGATTAGGTTAATTGAGGTGAGAGGAGGCATTCTAGAAGTAGGCAGCACCCTTTCCTGGGTTTGGCTGCTGGAGTGCAGAAAAAAGAGCAGGCTAGCTGACCATCAGCATTTACCCTTCTCTGCTTCCTCACTGTAGACATGCTGTGACTAGCTGCCTTAAGTACTTGGCACTGTGACTTCCCCACAGTGTGGAACTGTACCTTTGAACTGTAAGTGAAGAAAAGCCCTGTATCCCTTACGTTCCTTTGGTCGGGATATTTTATCACAGTCACTATGCAGACCTCTTGACCTGCCACTGGCCAAATCTAGTGTGTCACTTCCATCTTCATTGAGTTTGATCTCTTCCTAGCTTTCAACAAGCTTGAACTCCTTCTTGTGTCTTGGCTCCTGTGTTCTTGGGCCATCTTGACTTTCCTCCTCAGTCTGTACTGCCTTTGCCTTTCCCTTCAGTGTAACTGTCTTTTCAGTGTTCTGCCCTGAGCCCTCACTTCCCCTCGTGTTAGTGGCTTTGCCATAATCATCTCATTTACTCCCATAACTGAAGTTAATGCTGCTGTGTCTGTGTAGATGACTACTAAATCTAGCCCTGACACTGTCCGGGAGTGAGTCTAACTACCACAAGCCTCGAGACTCCTCCAGAAGTTCATGTGCTTTGCCAGCTCTTTGGTGCCCTAACCTCTCTGCAGTTCCTAATGCCTGCTTCTTGTCCCCTGTGCCCTGGAAGCTTGAGTATCCTCAGTTGCTCATGTTCGATAACCAGAGGGCACCTTTCTCATTGTTCCCTGGCTCGCTCCCATAGGCTCATCAGTTGCAGCCTCTGCAGGTCCTCCTCATTGGGAACTCAATTCTTTCTCCCTGTTTCTATTTGTGCTTCTTCATCTAAGCCAATTTCCCAACTGGTTCCCTTTCTGTCCATTTCCTCCCCTTCCAGCTTACCCTGTGCAGTGCTATTCCTTGTGCTTTTGTTGATCTGAGTGTACATATAACCAAGCTGCCAGCATGGTGTTATGCGCCTTTAATCCCAGCACTCAGGAGACAGAGGCAAACTGTGAGTTTAAGGCCTGCTTCTAGTTCCCAAGGGTTGCATACACCTGTCTCAAACAAACAACAACAGAAACAATGTAATCATGCCACTGCACCACCCCCCTTCCCAATAAACCTCAGTGACTTCACAGCTCTTAGTCTATACTGTAACCATGCAGCATTGCCTGAGGCCCTCTGGCCTACAAAGTTCTTTCTTAGATTGAACTTTTCTGTCAACTTTACATGCAATCTTCTTTTCTCTCTAGTGCTTACCCTCCACACACTCATCCTTCAACCTCTTGGTCAGTCTGAGTTGCTGTCCCATACTCTGTGTGGTCTTCTGTGAGAGAGAGTTGGTCCATGTTACATTTCATTGTTAGGCTTGCCTGGTTCCCTCTTTTGGAACACATAGCTCAGCTGCCTTCTGTGATAATGATGCTGTAATTGCCTTTACCAACACCTCCCACACATTATACTGGGAGCTTATCAAGGCAGGGATTATCTTTTGTCTCTCTAGTCTATAAGTGACTTCTGCCCAGGAAGGTTTTTATTATTTGTTTGGGGAAGTGCTGGGGATGGAACCCAGCAATGCAGGCACTCTGCCACTGAGGTAAATTCCCATGGGAGGTTTACAATGACAGAATTTTAATTAAATGTTTTCATTAGAACATGATGGAAAAATCATAGCAAATAGAATAGATCTTTCTGAGTATTGTGGTCTAGCACCAAAACCTGGAATTCAGTGTTCTGTCATTAGAGGCAGTCACAGAAGGGTTGACTTACAAGGTTACAGTACTTGGACACATTTTCCACATCTGTGTTAGAAATCCCTTTCTTTCCTTATATGTCACTAACGTTATACAGTAGGAGAAAATATGAACTGAATTGCTCATACGAAGTTTTTGCAAAACTCAGTTGTTATTTAGCTATTAACTACTAAACGTGATTCATTAAAAATTTTAAATAAGTCACCCAAATAATAAAATATACAGATCAAAACAGGTCAGCTGTTGAACTGCTTTCCTAAATTGAGTTCATGTCATAATCCTGTGTCTGGTGGTGGTAAGGAGCAACTAGGAAGCTGAGAAGTAGTGCACGATGAGAGGTAGCAGTCCCATTCAGGGAGGTGACTGTCTAGTAGAAATAACATGGCAGATGAGTATGGCTCCAGTTTACCTTCAAGTGTGTAAGAATGTAGAGGAAAGTCCCTGGGGGCTCTCAGGAAGGAGGTTGAAAGAGCCTACATATGAGAGTTGTTAATGCTGAGCCTTG